GGCCGGGGCCGGGGGGCTGGTGGCCTACCCGCGGCTGAAGCTGAAGATCATGATCCGGGACAAGCTCATCCGCGACGGCATCAACCTGAGCAAGCCCCCCTACTCCAACAAGGTAAGAGGGGCTGTGGTCCCAGGTGCGCTGCGGCTGTGGTGGCAGTGGGACGAGTGCTCCCACGGGCGAGGGTTGGGGGGCATCCCCCTGGAGGTGAGGGGTCTGGCAGAGCCTGGTTCCACCTCTGCCATGCTCGGGTGCTCAGTGTTTCAGCTGTGCTTGTGGCGTTTTCAGAGGGAAACGTGGTGGCATCGACCAAGAGATGAGTTGGGGTCCCGCCTCTGCCGTGCACTCGGGCTTGGCGTCTCGGCTGTGCTTGTGGCATTTCTGGATGGAAATACAGGCAGGACTTTGCACCAGCCAGGTGTGAAGTGGGGCCAGAGTAGGTCAGATCCATCAACGCTTGTTGGCCTGATGTGGACTTACCGGGTGGTGCGGTGTTATGCTGTGTTTTGGTTTGGTTTCGCCTGGGTTTTTTGTTTTGGTTTGGTATTGTTTGGGGTTTTTTTGGCATTAACCTGTTCTTTTAGTCCAGTCTGATTGGGGTGTGAAGACAGAAATTGACAGGATGATCTGAATGGTTTGGGGTTTTGTTTGGTTTTGTGTTTTTTCCTTTTCTGCGAAACGTTTCAATTGTGTTGGAGAGTGATGGCTTCTCTCTCATCTGTTGTTGAAGGCAATACATTAGTGTCAGTTGGTGAAAAGGCTGATGAAGCAACTGGTAACCTGGCTGGAGGAACAACTCTTTCTGTTGCCCGAGTTTATTTACTGGAGGATGGTAGTGCCTGGTAAACGCTGGAACTATTAATCAGCGCAGCTTGGTCTATATCCAGGACACACGGTCTGCTTAAAGACCAGAAAACTTCAGGTCTCAGAAAAGTACATTCGAGTTTGATGAAACTCAAATATTTACCTAGTTCTTGACTTTTGAAACGTTAAAATGTAAGATTAATGTGATTTGAAAGATAGAAATTGTTTTGTATAAGCCTTCTGTAGGTTCTTGCTGAAAACATCATATGCAGAATAAATTAAAATACAGAATTAAATGGATGATACAATGAAAGAGGAAAGGAATTGTGAAAGAAAACAAGGTGTTATAATGCCTGGTTGCTTCAGAGTTCAGAATGAAGTGCTTCAAAGTTGTTTGATGAGCAAAGATGCCTGTATTTTCTTTAATGATTTGAAGTCTGACTTTTTGGAAAGACTGAGCAATTACAGTTGACCTTCAACTTGTGGATAATATTTACCTCTGAAGAGGTTATGAAGGTATGAAAGCAAGGTGACAGGGAAGTCTACAGGTCTGAGCTGCCAGAAATGTGTGGAATTAAATTTGGGAATTCATTATCTGCTGCAGGGAACCTGGATGTGTGGATAATGAGTAAAATCCGACTTGGATAATATGGAGATGTAGATAGTAAGACTGATAGGCAGTAAATTTCAGGACTCCAGTTGGTGATAGACGGCCACTAGTCACTTCTCTGGTACAGCACAGTTAACTGTTTCGAGATATTTATGTTTTCTCTTTTCCTGAAACATCCAGCTGATGACATTGTCAGAGAAAGTGTCTTAGATCTGATAGGGCAATCACCAAATCTAATAAAACATTAATGAACATCTAGTCTAAGTAGAGCATCTTCCAAAAAGTACTTTTATCATTTCAGAGGTTTTTTTTTCTCCTCCCTTTGAAGTGAAACATCATTGGACTGATACTCCTTTGAAATTATTGTTATATGTCTTATATAAAATAACTTCTATGAAAGCTTTGGCTAATGAGTATAGCTGCAGAACATTACCCACATCCATATCTACATTTCACTTCTTCTCTTCAACTTTGTGTGTGTTCATAGTCACCAATTCCGTCTTACCAAGTGGGTCCTTCACCTTCTCTCTTCTGTATCTCCTCCATAAGAACTGTAAAATACCTAAGATGCCAGTATATGACATCAAGGAAATTCAAATATTTGGCAGTGATTTCTTCTTTAGCTCACCTTATTTTAATTTGATGGGTCTGATAATAGGGTGGATTAACTGTCAGGGCAAGCTCATTTTACACAGAAAGCATCACTCAGCTTTAATTGCTTTAAATCTAAATGTGGTATTTTGAAATAGAGCAACTGAGCCTACTTTCCTAGTTTTATTTCAGCCTGTGGTGCCAATGCACTGGATGATAAATACATATAGCATCATTTTTTTTTACAGTAATAGAAGAATTTTCCCCATCTCCTTAGTGTGAATCACTTCACATCATAGCGTGTTGTAAGAAACCATAAACCTGGCAAGATTTGAGTGTATGTTGCTCAACATGTTACTCTGAATGCCACCCACTGTAGCAATCCATCCCCAAAACGGCTTAAAGGGAATAGCAAAAGATCACGTCACTGTATGTTATTCATTGGATGCTGTTAAGAGCAAGGGAAATGAAATACTGTATGTTTTTATTTGGGAGAAAGCCATATTATGACACTGTCTCTTTAAAACAAACAAACAAACAAAAAACCCATAAAAAATCAAAACAAAACAACAACCCAAGAAAACTTTAGAAAACTGTGAATACAATTTAAGCAACCTGTATTATAGTTTTTATGTAGAATACGCAGTGTACAGACTTCTGCATGTCAGAAGAAACTTGATGTATTCTCTGCTGTGCACAGGATTAAAGAATCAGCTTGAGGTTTTTGTCAAGTATTTTGTTTATTTCACATCCATCTACAGGTGGCCACATGGATATTCTGGAGCAGGGCACTAGACACTGACCTGTTTGACATCTATTTGCATTTCTGGTGCTGCTGAGCTGCTAAGTAGTCTCCTACTTCCGTCCACGGCTCACACAGGGAATGCCATCATCTTTTCCTCTCAGTATCTGTGAATGGAAAGTAGTACCTATGAATGGAGAAGGATGCTTGTTCGTGTATGTATGTATTACTTGTTTCCTGAAGAATACTTTATATATTTTTCAGACAATTTTGGAGTTTTGTATAAAAACATCCCTGAGAACTGGAACTGTTGCTTCCGCCTTGTTTGTAGCCTTTTGTGAGCTGCCTGTGCTGTAGACATGTCAAAAGATAAAAAATGAACATTGGATGTGGAGATGTTAAAAGCATCCTTTTGCTTTGTCCTTCCATTGTTGCTGCTGGATTTTCAGATGAAGGGTGAAACAACAGAGTGACAAGGATAGAAATGTATTGGCATGGTTAAATTTAGTTTAACTTAGTTTTATTACAGTCAGCAGAAATGACTAACAGGTACTTAGCAGAGCTCAATATAAATCTCTTAAAAACATATAAACTTTGAATTGAAGCCATGTGTGTTGGGTGACTTTAAATATGGATAATTATCACAAGCCATCCTGATTATTTCCATGAAAAACTCGAACAAGGCCTTACATACTCAAATTGCATCTTCTATATTTTTCAGGTATAAACCAAGGAATATAACTGTAACTGGGAAGAACTCTACAGAAGTCAGGTTTTATTCCATGTCAAAGCCTTCTGTTTTAGCTTCATGCCTGCTGTTGCTGGCTAATAGCCTTAGAAGTCGCATGTGTGTAAGAAACTTCTTGTGAAGGTGGTGGACTTAAATGCCCTTCAAACAAGAACCCATGGTACCTCTGAGTCAAGTGGAACATCTGTGTCATCTCAAAACATCTACCTGCTTTTAAAAAGTTCTCCTTGATTGTGTCAGTTCTGCCCTTAATTACAAAATTAGGAGTAGTATTAATACTGTTTTCCTGTGTAGAAATTTTGGTGGATGGGTCTGATGGCGGAAGGAAACCACAATGAGCAGGGCCCTCCCACCACCCCGAGTTTCAATGAAGATGAACAAAGGGAAGTGCAGCACTGACCTGAACCAGCCTGATCAGAGGAAGTGGAGCCTTTACTTCCATACCGAGACACTTCTGACTTTGACAGATGGGTTATGTCCATGCTAGGTTTGAACAGGAATAATGTCACTAAATGTCACTGTGGTAGGGAA